TTTATCATTATCATATCATACTTCACATTCAAACACATAGTATTCAAATATGGATTTACTTATCATAATGTATAATGTCATATATTTATATGTCCCATAGCATAGGGATTACAAAATGTAGTCTCATAATCATATAGAATCATGCATATCACATGTATAAGCTTGAGTTCAAGTATTATACAAGCTCTTACTAAACACCACATGATATTACACTAAACCAACATATTGATTATACATCAACTCCATCAAAATAAGACTATATACATAAAATGCATACTCTATGTGAGCCTTTTGCTTGTGAGGTCATACCTCTCTCCACTGGAGTACTTGGAATAGCTAGCATTTCCCAAATAGGGTGAGATTATAATCTCAATAAGCCCAGGGTTTTTGGAGTAGGACTCCAGACATGAGTTCACTTTCTGCATGAAATAGTACACACATGGCATGAAATACAACATATAGCTAGAGGCAATAATAGTCGTGATTGTCAGTGTGCATCAAGTGCACTCAGATCACACATGAACCTAGTCCATTTGGTGTCTGTCTTGGATCACACATGAACTTAGTCCATTTGGTGTTCGTATGGAATTCCATGAGATACAATGTGTACTTAGTACACTTAGATCACATGAACCTAGTCCTTTGGTGTCAATCTCAGGTCACACATAAACCTAGTCCATATAGTGCCTATATAAAAATTACCATCATTCAATTGGCCAATAAACAAACAATAATCACATTCGCATAAAGCTTTAACTGTACATTAGTCTTTCCACTGATACATAATCTAGCCCCTAGTGCTTGTCCATCGGGTCTTTCACCAATGTTACATTATTTTCTATATGAATGCAGTCAAACCATATTGCTAACACACCAATCAATCATCCAAACAATAACCATTACTTCCATAGAAGCATGAAGGAACAACATAATGGAATAAAACTCTAATAATTGATATTTATCACACTTATTTATTACTCTTGATTAGAAATTTTATGACTATTTAGTTTGTTAATAATGGTTTTTTGGGTTGAATTGGATATTGAGCTTTTAATTGAGTTTAATTCGTTTTTAAGCTAAATTTTCAGATTTACGTTGTTGCAGTATTTTGATTATAACTCTTGGTAAGGTGTCTGATTAATCTCATTCTTATCTTGTTTTGCAGTTGGCCCATGAACACATATATGCACTTTCCTTGAGGACCCAAGCTCTTCGAAGTGTATTATCTTTGGGGATCCAAGCCCTTGGATTATGATGTATATACTTTTCTTGAGGACTCAAGCTCTTGAAAGTGTATTATCCTTGGGGACTCAAGTCTGTGGGCTATCATGTATGGACCTACCTTAAGGACCCAAGCTCTTGGAAGGGTATGTTTGGACTTTCCTTGAGGACCCAGGCTCTTGGAAGGTTATGCTTGGACTATCCTTGAGGACACAAGCTCTTGGAAGTATTATGTATGTTATGAGCTATTTGATGTCCCATATGCTATATTCCTTGACCCTTCATGCAAAAAGTGAACTCTTGGGGAGAGAACTACTCCAAGAATCTAGGTTTTATTAAGATGTGTTATCTCACCCTTTCTGGGGATATATATTTCAGATAGTTCAACAGCAAGAAAGAGACCCTCACTTGACAAGAGGCCCATGTAGAGCAGGATGTCTCACTGCTGGACGCTGGCATGATGTGTGTATATGATATTTTGAAAGATTGTGTTACATGATTATATATCATTTTGTATGGCTTTATGTATCATAATGAGAACTTGTATTATTTTGAGGAGGCCTATATATATATATATATATATATATATATATATATATATATATATATATATATATATATATATATATATAAATAACATATGTTGCCTATGTTTATTTTTGGTGATATGTTGATGTAATTCTGTAGTCCATATACTGAAATTTTGGTGACATGTTGATGTAATTTTGTAGTCCATATACTGGATTGATATATATATATATATATATATATATATATATATGTATATATATATGACAGATGTTGCCTATGTTTATTTTGGTGACATGTTGATGTAATTCTGTAGTCCATATACTGGATTGATAGATACTATGGTACTTGTATGTCTGTTGATGTACGATTATGTTTATGAAGTATTTGATGTATTTATGTAAGTATTGGTACAGAGCCATTTCATATATGAATACATGTTAGTGGACAATTTGATTTACATATATAGACTATATTATCTGTCTATCAGGTACTATTCATGAAAGTGAGAATTATTCCTATATGTCTAGTTTACAGCCTGTATACTCTCCGTGAGATTCTATCCTGGGTGGTATATTTTTATCACACTCTGGTAGTCATTTGCCATTACTTATGATTTGCAGCGTTAACAAGTATGAGTGTCGTGCAAGTATGAGACTGTACAGTTGAAGATAATATGAGAGAAATAACATGCATGATAATACATAAGGAAAAAGAAAGAAAAAAGTTAGTTCACATAATTGACTAAGAGTAATTATGATTATTTCACATGTAGCTTCCGTTTATTTGATTATTATGCTGCTGTTAATGTCATAATGGATGATAACAAATCGGCAACTGACGGGGTGTTACAACTGTCATGTCCTTTTTCTCATTCCTCTAACTACCCAACCACGTTGGAGAAGATTCCCACATTCACTTTATTCTCATCATCATTCGAATTTGCTTTGGTTGGACTATTCGGCTCTTGTGTTTCCTTTTTTGGCAATTTTTTCTACACTATAGGAAAAGAGAAAGTGAGTAAGTTATTGGTGTAACATCAAGTGGAAGTCTTTTTCCAACTTTTCATTCATTAGTAATGTGCTTTGCACTTCAATTGCAACATTTTTTTTATTCTTAATTGCTCCAAAATCTCAACAATTTATAATTTTCAACCCATTAACATCTCAAAATAATGGTACAAGGAACTTATTTTTGCTAAGAGACTATGAAATATAGGAGCTCATTTATTATACTCTGAGAGCTTGTGCTCCTTTTCCAAAAATAAAAGAAAAAAGGATTGGAAATGAATTTAAAAAGAAGAAATGGATATAAATGGAAGAAAATATTTTCTTTTTTAATAAAGAACCATCAAATAGTATTATGCTCCTAGAGCACATTAAAAAAATCCGAAATATAGGCCCATCGACATGCATCACAAAAGTTATTATAAAAAAAATTATATTATTCTATGAATGAATATTATAAAATTCTCTGTGCCTGTTTGGATCCTCTCTTTTTTAAGCCAAAAGCTACTTATAAGCAGAATCTAGGCCAAACAAGTTTTAAGAAAATCTCTTATATCAAAAAGCTCTTTTTTTATAACAAAGAAAAAGCTCTTATGAAAAAAGCTCATGGGGGGAGCTTTTTTAAAAGCTCTTATTAGCTTCTTTTGCAAAATGAGGAGTCTTTCGAATGTTGAGGTCTGAGTTTTTCGTGCTTGCAACGCTGCCCATCGTCACTCTTTCTTCCTCTATTATTCAGATCTCTCTCGACTTCAATATGTTCTCGAAGGTTCTTTCTTTCTCACTCTCTCTTCCTCTACCAATTTTTACCTTCACCCACTTTGATTAGTTCACGAGATGGTGAATTCTAAGATTCAATGATTGGGGAACAGTTTGGGGGAATTGTTTGTAGGTCTCTGATAGAGCAATGTGAGGATGCAAAAATCACAAGTTTGTTGTTGGGTTCTAATATGTATTTGTGGTTTTTGTCTTCTGTTCATGGGCTGGGGTTTTTTTTTACTGTTTGTTGAATGGTCATGCTTTATTATTTTGTTTGCTTTTGTATGAGGTAGGAATATTAAAACTTTAATTATACACCTGTAAAAGAGGGTATCGACTAACATCAATTGTTAGGCTCTCAACTATTGCATTAATAAATTTAGATTATGCCATGTTTTATTACAGTGCAAGTGCTGTGTGCACAAGGCAAGCCCAGAAAAGTCGACATAGAAATACATATTTGAATAGTGTAAAGGGAGCTGAAAAAATAAATATAACTTATTAGAAAACATGAAAACCCAGTCTAATATCGATTCTAGCAGCACAAATTTCCATCTTTTTGGATCACCAAAGCCAAGAAGAGAGGACATTTCAATGCCATAACAGATGTATTTAGTAGTTGTTCCTTACTTAAGTAATTTAATTGAGGTTTCATGCTCATGAATATTTATTTATTTGAAATATTGAATAGGCTCCACTAGGCCTTCATATTAGGTACAAATTTGAAATTTTGTAGGCTCAATAGTTAGCTTGATACTTATGCTTAATAATTAGCAATTCTAAGGCTCACTCAATACCTAAATAGGTTCCACTTTGGCAGCTGGTTAAGCTAGTTGTTGACTGGCTTTGGCCTCTTTAGTCATTAGCTATGAACATAGCCAGACCTTTTAGGTTGAACTGGGCAAACCCACTAGAATGGAAAAAACACAAGCCTAATGCTACAAAAATAAACAAACAAAAACCCACACACACAACACCAACCTCCTCCAGCAAATTTCCTTCTAACTTAGTCGCACCATCTACTTGCTGCTCAAATTCATCTGCCACTTTCATCAAGTAAAAATGAATTCTCCAAAAGAAACTCAGAAAAAAAGCTTCAAAGGAAACATTAGCTAATAGCTATGATATTCACCACCATATAATTCTGATGAAAGAAAAGTCACTTAATTACATGGGTCTAATGGAGGGATCAATGACTTGTGATCAGTACCAATACTCACACAAATAAAAAAAAAGAACACTAAACAAAAGAACACTTACCAAATTATTATTCGGTGATGGATGCAGAATGCTAGCCTTAGGGAATCGAATAGTGAAATGATGTTACTGTGGCCCAAAAGTCCCCCTCTCAGCAATTGTTGGTTTGCTTTTTCTTTTACTTTTCTAATAATTTTTTTAGTATATAGAACCATAAATGTTGAATGTATATGCAATTGTTGGCTTGCAGTTTATGGCTAGCAAAGATAAACTCAGTGCAAAGTGGGATCGATGCACTACAAAATCTTACTTGAAATTTGTATAAAGGAGATTAATGCAAGTGGAAAACCAGGAATTGCCTTTGGAGCTAAGAGATGGGAAGTTGTAGTTGATGAATTTAATAAACTTGCTAGTAAAAACTATACCCAAAAGCAATTGAAAAATAAGTTAGATAGTTTGAGGAATGATTGTACTACATGGAAACAATTATTGGGCAAAGAAACAGGATTGGGATGGAACCATGAGACATGAACTATTGTGGCTGATGACACATGGTGGGAAGCCAAAATAAAAATAAGCATTATAATTTTTAATTTTTAATTTATTTCATGTTTATTTAAAAATTTGGAGTTGTCTAAAGTTTCTTTCTCATTTATGATTGTGCAGGATAATGTTAAATATGCAAGATTTCGACATCAAGGACTAGAATTTTGGGAGGAATTGGAAATTATCTTTGGGGAAATAGTGGCAACAAGTCAACATGCATGGACCCCAGCAATGAGTGTACCAATTGAAGATAGTGCCATAAATATCACTCTAACTATTCCAGAGGAAATTGCTGAATATGAGGATGAAGAATCCAATCCTGATGAAAATGCTAGCCCTATAGTAAATAACCAATTGAAGAGGAAACAAATGGCATCAGAAGCAATGACTAAAAAAATGGCAAATGGTAAACAAAAGAGTGGGATTGCAGGAAGCATGCTAAAAACATTAGAGAGAATGACCAATGCAACAGAGAGTCATAATGCAGTTGAAGCGGCTGAAATGTCACAAACATCTGAAATTAGTGGGAAATGGTAAACAAAAGAGTGGGATTGCAGGAAGCATGCTAAAAACATTAGAGAGAATGACCAATGCAACAAAGAGTCATAATGCAGTTGAAGCGGCTGAAATGTCACAAACATCTGAAATTAGTGGACAATTTTCCATTCCTGATGGCATTAAAATACTGAAAAAATTGAGGGCTGAAGGGAAATTGGATGCCAAACAATTTTTTTATGCAGTAGATTTGCTTATAGTGCAACAAGAAAGGATCATTATTATGTCCTTTTCAGAATCAATTGATGATCTCGTAAAGTGGATTTTGTACAAATATGAATTAGATAAAAACTCTAGTGATTAGGTTGGAATTTGATTTTATATTTGCTATTCTCATGTTAAATGTTGGACTAATATCATACCTATTATTCCTCTGTTGAACTATGCTAGTTGATATTTCAATGACATTATATTTATGTTTTTGGACTATTGTATACTTATGCTTTTGGTCTTTATCATTTTTTAGGTAAGAATTTATTAGAAAATGTGCAAAGTTTTATCTAGACAAAGTGAATCATCATCAAGAATTGTTAAGAGAAGAAAATGTGCAAAGTTTTATCGAGAAATGAATGGAGCAACAACAATTGCGTATTTACATTACATGAAATATTTGATGAAGCAAGGTAACCGATTTAATTATTCTGATGGATGGAACTGGGTTCGAGAAACCTTAAACACTCATGGTGAAAGTTACAGAATATTTAGGATGGAATCAAATGCTGTATGAGAACTTGAAAACATATTGGTGAGTAAGGGTTGGTTACATCCATCTAGGGAATTGACATCATTGGAGGCACTTTCTATGTTTCTTTGAACATGTGCACACAATGAGACAAATAGAAATATCCAAAATAAATTTGGAAAATCAGGAGAGACAATAAGTAGAAAGTTTAGTGAAGTACTAGATAGTTTATGTTCACTGGCGAAGGAAAATGTGAGGCCTCTAGATTTTCAGTTTAAAGAAGTTTCTTCGCAAATTAGAGATGATAGTAGATATTAGCCTTATTTTCAAGGATGTATAGGTGCTATAGATGGATCACACATTCATGCCATTCCTCCTACTAATGATCAAACTCGTTTTATAGGCAGAAAAGGATACCCAACACATAATGTCATGTTAGTTTGCAACTTTGATATGATATTCACTTTTGCTGTTGTTGGTTGGCCTGATACTGCACATGACACACATATTCTTTCATCTGTGCTTGAAGAAATGAAAAGTGTGTTCCCTCATCCTCCTAAAGGTACAATTTAATATTTTTTATACAAACTTTTTAAGTTTTATATTTATTTATTTAAAATTTTATATAAACTAAAAATAAACCTTTTAATTTTTTAGGAAAGTATTATGTAGTAGATGTTGGATATCCTAACATGAAAGGGTATCTAGCACCATTTAAAGGAGAAAGATATCATTTTTCTGATTTTAGAGGTTGCAGTCAACCACATGGATTACAAGAAGTTTTCAATCATGCACATTCCTCACTAAGAAATGTCATTGAGAGAACAATTGGAGTTTGGAAGAACAGGTGGCACATCTTACGTGATATGAAGCCATTTTCATTAATCAAGCAGGAGAAAATTATTATTGCAACAATAGCCCTTCATAACTTCATTAGAAAGTGTGGTGTTGATGACGAAGAGTTTGACAAGTTGGATTGTAATCCTAATTATATTCATGAGAGTCAAGAAGAATGTTATATTGATGAAGAATTGGGTATCCATTAGGGGTGTTCATCAACCGATCCAAACCGATTCAAATCACAAAAACCGAACCGAAAAACCGATAACCGAATAAACCGAAAACCGAAAAATCGGAAACCGAAAGAAAACCGCAAATTTTAATTGGATTGGATCGGTTTTCGGATGGGTTGATGAAAACCGATCCAATCCAAACCTATCCAATATATTAATTATCCTCTACCTACTTGTCTTTTCTCCAATCATAGCCCAAAAATTTCTAAACTCAAGTCCCATTAACTCATCAACTAAATCCAAAAAAAAAACTTAGTCACGTCTCATCAACTATAGTATTGTTTACTGGTATTTTTGTATTTCAATTTTTTTTTACAAAGCCAATATATTCAAAAGATGTTTTATTTGCACAATAATCATGAAACTAATTTTAGGATATTCAAAAAACCGAAAACCGATCCAATCCAAACCGAAAAAAATTGGATTGGATTGGATCGGATTTGAAAAAAAATTTAAACCGAATGGATGATTACATGATCAAACCGAAGGGATTGGATCAGATGAGTTTTGCTTCCAAAATCGATCCAATCCAGACCGCGAACACCCCTAGTATCCATAGTCATAGAAGAATAGCAGATAATGGTTATATGGATAGAGTTCAAAATCAAATAGCATCAGCATTAATCGAAAATAGAAATAGGTGATTTCATGTGAATGGAATACTCGTTGACAATTTGTAATTGATGATATCTTTTTTTTCTTTTTTCTTTTTGTAACCAACTACTGATGATTTCTTAATTATGCCACACTATTCGCAAATTTTTTCTCATAGTATTTTTGTTTTGTGAATATATTGATAGTTTAGAGGTTATTTGATAATATACACTTTATCACAATTTTTATTAGAAAAAGTGCTTATGAAGTTATTTTGCCAAGCAACTTATTTTTAATTTGAGCTTTTAAACTAAATTTTTTTATGTAATTACCAAACAACTTTTAACTTTTTTTTTTCAACTTTAACTTATAAGTACTTTTTAACTTAAAAAAAAAAAAAAATCCAAATAAGCTCTCAGCCTTTTACATATTTCCATGTAGCACCCATGAAATTTTTTTCCCAACTCAACCTCTTGCAATGATAGTGCAATGTTGTATTTTTTTTACACGCAACCGACATGACATCGTTTGATTGCATAGCATAGGTTAAAAAGAGGGAGTTCAACATCTAGTTATCTTAAAAAAAAAAAAAAGGTGAGTTCAAATGGTATCGTGAATCCACCCACACTCGATTCTGCACCACTCACTGAACAAAACCTCCATCCATTTTCTTCGTCTTACCCTCACCACTCCCATGAACCTCTGAACTTCACTTCGCTTCGCTTCGCTTCAACCATGGCCGTTCGAGCAGTCAACACCTGCTCGCTCTTCCGTCCTCCATCTCCTCCTCTCTCCTCCGCCGTCCGCTTCGCCGCCCTCCACTTTTCCTCCCGCCACCTAAATTTCCGGCGTCGCCGCCGTTCCCCCGCGTTCCTCCCTCAGTATCTCTTCTCCTCCGATTATGTCGGCGGTGGCTGTCAAACTCAAAGGCGCTCCGTCCAGAGCCTCTTCGAGAGCGTCATTGAAGAGCTCCAAGCCATGCGCAAACGCCGGAAGAGAGTCTCCGCTGCTTCCAAGTACCTTTTTTTTCCTCCTTAACGCTTATTGCTAGATGCACAATTGGAAATTGTGAAAGCAGCGTGTGGCATGTGATTGCATAGTTGAAGTCCTTGGTTTAATTACAATTATTGAGTGCGAGTTAGTTTCAATGGTGTAGGACAACAATGGTAACATATGCTTCATCGTGTGTTTGGGTTTGGCACGACTTATGTTGGTTAAGAACCCTAGCGGACAACACATGATATTCTACTTGGTGTTTTGTTTTTTTTCTTAAGGGATTTAGTAATTTGTTTATAAATATAATTAAGCAGGTAATATTCTACTTGGGGTTTCAATATTTACAAAATATTGACGCATTGTCTTGATTATTTGTTGGGTAAATCATTTCTGCACTGCCTCAGACACAAAATTCAAAGAGAGAGAAATGAGAGAGCGAGAGAGAGAGTGAATTTTGTGTCTGAGGCAGAAAAAAAAGTTTCTGCCTCAACTGCAGAAATTTCTTTACAATTGGATGTTTTAATGTGATATAAGAGATTCTTTACACTTGGAAAAGGAAAGGAGGAAAGAAAACCCTTTTCATTGTTCTTTGATTTCAAAAACTCATTATCAGTTATATGAAAAATGATAGGAACCTTGGGAGAGCTTCGCCTCAAAAGCTAGCTCACAAGGTTGGAGAGCCCAAAGTCCATATAAACCTCATACCAGAACTTTATATTTCCTATGTGGGGCTCTAAGTCCCATACCCTTGGACCAGAATCGTAACAAAAAATCAGAGGTTCAGAATGAAAAGAAATTGTGGCTGTCATACTTGAACAGATCACCGTTGTTTGTAAATGCTATAAAAACCAAGAATGCAGTTCAAAAATTGAGCATGAGATTGGAGAAGAGAGGTTACGATGGTGGGCTGTGCAATTCTTATGTCAAGGAACCTTAATGTGGGTGTGGATAACATTTTCTAAGAATTTCATGTGCAGTTTTTTAAAGTGGTAAAAGTTGCACTTAATTTTGGTGACATGATCCTTAGGATCCGTAAGGTGAGAAACTAAGGCTGGCAAATAGAATATTCTCTAATGACACACAGTTCAGTTATGTGCCTGCTTTTACTGGAAAAAATGACTCAAACTATGCACAATAACGCAATAACCCTTGTTTAAGTGCCAATAATTATTACAAAAAAAAAAAAAAGTGCCAATAATAACAATATATTGACTATGATTGTTTCTTTTTTTTGAAAAAGAGTTTGTTAACTTTAAATCCAAGTTCCAAAGTTGAACTGATGAGATATATTTTAATGTGATAAGTGATTTGTTTTGAGACACTTAAGTTCTAGGAAAGGCAAGTAAAATAAAATGACTGTTTTATATGATGGTGATGTACAAACTACTAGGTTCAGTATCGTACCTACTTTCATCATTACTCCTTGATGGTCTTTATATGTCTGCCCTTCTGTTTAGATGGCACACTGCTTTCAAACAAATCCTAAGCCTTTTGATGCCTTACAGCATGTGTGTGTTAAAGAAATATTAGTTTGAGAATATGGGGGCATATTAGTTTGCAATTACGGAAATTTCAAGTATTTTGTTGTGTATTAATTTTATACCACAACATATTTTTATCGCATTATCTCCAACTTACTCTCCCCTCATTGAATATGGAGTTTATAGTGTCATGATAGAAATGTAACAAAATTTATAATGACCATGGAGGTGGCTGTGTAAACTGTTTGGTTGAAATAAAGTATGTTGTAGAATCCTCATGCATGAAGGCTAATGGTTGAGATGATATTTCAATTTCCTTAAATATATATTTAGTAGCAAATGCTTTTCTTTTCCTAGTGCAGTTAATTTCTTTAGATCAACAGCCTTTTAGTCCCAACTTTTCAATGAGAAAAACTTATATTTACAAACCGATAATAAGTTTTAGTAAATTGTGAAATATTAACAATAAGTATTTTTTATCACTACAATGATGAGTTTGTGGTTTAAAAAATATAGAAACAAAATGAACAAAAGCCTGTTTTTTGTTTTTGTTTTCAAGGTTCAGAAAATGGTTTTCTGTTTTTCAATTTTTTTAATAAAGTGCAAAAGTTACAGCTGAACAATTTTTGAAAATTTCTGTGTAGATAGGTTTTTGAAGGAAAAAGTCATGAAATCCAAACTTTGAAAATGTTCTCTTTCCTTTTGTTTTTGTTGTTCATATTATAGAAAAAAAATGTTATTGAGATAAAGTTGTTTTCAAATTTATTTATTAGCTGAAAAACTATTTTCAGTCACATTTGAGACAACTGCTATGGATAGGAAGGCTTGTAAATTTTCGTATTAAGCTTGATTTGGTGTTTCCTAGCTTTGCCATTGCTTCAGTTACTATCTTAATTTTAGTTATTGGTTTGACAGCATTGGATTATTGAATGAAGAGCTTCTTGAAGATAGACTTTTGAACCGTTCATTGCAAAAGGGGTTGCTTTTAGAGTTCAAGAAGGACTCTGATAGAATATTGCTAGCAGTTGCTCAGAGACCTGATGGCAAGAAGAATTGGATGGTTTCTGATCAGGTTCTAGTAGATACAACATAATGCGGCATGTTTAATAGGTTGCTAGGTGTTGGAACTTCTTGCGTTTTTTTAAATGCTAAATGTTAATAGATTTTGTGTAGTCTGACTGCTCCTTGGTTTTATTGGGCTGAAGAATGGTGTCCCTTCTTCCATCAAACCACAACAAGTGACATATATCGTTCCTGGTGTTGACAATTTTGACCAAGCAGATATAGCAGATTTTGTTCAGAAAGCTCAGGACAATGTGGTCAGTTTCACAATAGGATGGTAACTGATATGCGAAATTTATTACTTGTTACTTCTGTCAATAATAAAAAACTGGATGATATGATGCAGGACCCATCACTGCTTGAATTTGCTTGGGTTGAGCTCCTTGAAAAGAAGAAGTCTGTGACGGTTGAAGAGTTGGCCGAGGTAATATGATTTCTGTACTGGATGTCAACGTATGCTTTCTATCTCCTTACATGAGCTGCTTGTCTGCAGATAATTTTTGGCAGTGCTGAGCCTCTTGAGAGCTATTCTGCCCATCTCTTGCTATCAAAAGATGAAGTATACTTTACTGTTCTGGAAACTAAAGGATATCGTTCCATTTATGGACCTCGACCAAGTGGGCAGGTAGATGTATTACTTTCAGGTGTAGAGTAGCTTTAAAAATTAATGGATTTTTCATTACACATATAAGTTATGTAGCTATTCTTTGGAGTATTTTCCTTTACATAAAAATGTGCTCCAGGAAGAGCCTTGAATTTTTTTATATATATATTTTTTTGTTTAATTTTTTAAAACCTGTTATGGATTTCTTGTAAATTGGGATCATAAAATAGTACTTTAAAGTCCGTCTTAGCACTGCTTGGTGGTTACTTTGTTATTTGCAAGAAACTGGTCAAGAACAGCAAGAAAATACAGAAAGAATGAATCTTCATTGAATGGACCTCCTCTGGACAGCAAGAATGAGTGTTGCTTGCAGAATGGATGGAAAATAACAATGGGTATCTATCTCTCAACAATCGACACTCCATAAAAAGAATTCTCTGGCCCTCTACTCTCAACTAACTCACTCGCCAAAAGCCTCCCCTTTTATGTTCTTGCTCCTTAACTTCCTTGCTGGATTGTACAATCAGCTACAATTCACAATTCATTTACAAGTCAAGTCAGTTGGAATATTCCTAATAATAATTCTCTCTTAAAATTTCATCTTGTCCTCAAGTGAATGGCCAACACACATTGGAAACAGCCCAAATAATTCTCAGTTTCCCACCGAGGTCCCACTGCTTAGATAGCAAGGATATAATTAATTCTCACTTAAACCAACATTGATATTAACTTCAGCTCTCTTACCAGCTAGCATATCTATTAGAACAGATGGTCTGTAACTGATGTTACGATTGGCTTCCTCAATGGGGTCAGCCCTCTACTTGAATAATTTGCTCTAGAGCCTCTCTGATTGCTCTATGTTATTATTGAGAAATGTAAAACAAAGGGTTTTCTCAATTGATATTTTTGATTTACACTGATAAGGGTATTTATACAAGAGTAAATGAGAAAAAAATGGATAAGAATGACTAAGCAATGAGTTGTCAGCCATATCCTATCTATAGAAGCAAATTCAAAATTCAAATTCCTATTAAAGGAAAAAATCAATCACTAATTAATGGGAAATAAAGCAGAAAGATTCTAATCCTAATTTCCTACACTCCCCCTCAAGTTGGGAGGTAAATGTTGATCATTCCCAACTTGCCAATCAGGTCTTCAAAGGCTGGCCGGTGTAGGCCCTTAGTGAGGATATTTGCAGTATGCTCTTTGGTAGTAATATACATTATACACACACTTTCATCATCTATTTTTTCTTTGAAGTGACGATCAACTTCCACGTGCTTTGTTTGATCATGGTGAACTGGATTTTTAGCGATGTTGACAACTGCCTACTTGTCACAATATAGTTTTATTGATAGGGAATATGACATCTTTAACTCTTCAAAAAGTCTTCTCAGCTAGATTCCCTCACAGACTGCATGGGCTAAAGCTCGAAATTCTGCTTCGGCACTACTTCTTGCGACCACTGTTTGTTTTTTGCTTCTCCAAGTCACCAGATTTTCCCACACATAGGTGCAATAGCCTGAGGTAGATCTCATGTCCACTGATGAACCTGCCCAATCTGCATCAGTGTAGATTTCAATCGTCCTATTATACCCTTTTCTAAAGAATAATCCTTTTCCTGAGTTTTCTTGAGGTATCTAAGCACCCTATAGAATGCACTTAGATGTTTCTCCTTGGGTGAATGCATGAATTAACTAATCATACTCACCACAAAGGCAATGTCAGGCCTAGTGTGAGATAAGTAGATCAACTTCCCCTCCAATCTTTGGTACTGCTCTTTGTCAACTTCTTTTCCATCTTCAATTCCCAATTTAAAATTGGGTTCAATTGGGGTCTCTGCTAGCCTGCACTCAAGCATTCCTGTTTCTTGTAACAGGTCTAGAATATATTTCTTCTGAGTTAAAGAAATCTCTGCCTTACTTCGAGCAACCTCCATGCCCAGGAAATATTTGAGAGATCCAAGATCCTTCAGTTCAAAATAAGCAGCTAAACACTTCTTCAAAGAGCTTATCTCTTGACAATCATTACCTGTGACAATTATGTCATCAACATAAACAATGAGAATAGCAATTTTACCACCATTAGAGTGTTTAAAAAATAAAGTGTGATCAGTCTGAGCTTGGAGGAATCCTCTTCCTTTAACAACTTGAGTAAACTTCTCAAACCACTCTCTAGGGGATTGTTTAAGACCATATAGAGACCTTTTCAACTTGCATACTGAACCGTCTCCCTTTTCAAAACTAGGTTGTGGAACCATATAAACTTCCATGTAGATCACCATTTAAGAAGACATTATTTACATCTAATTGTTGCAACGGCCAATCAAGATTGGCAGCAAGTGATAGAAGAACTCGGATAGTGTTAAGCTTGGTAACAGGGGCAAATTCTCTTGATAGTCTATCCTATGAGTTTGAGTGAATCCCTTAGCAACCAATCTGGCCTTATACTTGTTGATGCTATTATTTGCATTAAACTTTATTATGAATACTCACTTGCAACCTACTGTTTTCTTTCCTCTAGGTAATGCTACGGACTCCCAAGTTCCATTTTTGTTGTGTGCATCCATTTCTTCAACAACTGCATTCCTCCATTTTGGATCATAAAGTGCTTCTTGGATGTTTTTCGGTATTTTTGTACTGTCTAACATAGTGTTGAAAGCACGAAAACCTGGGGACAACTTTTCATATGTGATATAATGAGAAATAGAATGAGTAGTACAAGATCTACTACCTTTTTGGAGAGCAATGGGCACATCTAGGTCGGTTGTATCGGTGTTGTTGGAACTAGGGCTCGAGTCAGAATCTTGGCAGTCTAGAAGTGATTATTGCCTGTTGTAAAACTTTTCCCATTTACCAGGAGGATCTCCATTCTCTGGCACAGTAGCTCCCCCAATCTCCAATGGCAAAGGCAAAACAACAGAATAATTTGGTTTCCAAGACTTATTTTCATCTTCCCCAATAGACTCCCCCTAAAGAGAAGTCAGAGGAAAAAATAATTGTCTCTCATCAAATATGACATCCATAAAAACAAAGACCTTGCGAAGAGAAGGTGAGTAACACTTGTAGCCCTTTTGATTAGGAGGATATCCTATGAAGACACATCTAATGCACTTAGGATCGAGCTTGGACCTTTGATGGGAGGAACATGTACAAAAGCCACACAGCCAAACAACTTGGGATGAAGGGAAGAATGAGTCCGAAAAGAAGGAAAGGTGTGGGTAAGACATGATAAAAGAGACTGAAAACTTAGGATATGAGAAGGCATCCGATTGATGAGGTATGCTGTAGTCAAGAATCAAGACAACTTCCCCCCATAGATATTTATGGACATACATGGTAAACACAAGGGCTTGAGCAACTTCAAGGAGACGTCTATTTTTTCTTTCTTCCACCCCATTTTGTTGAGGTGTGTTAGGACAAGAACTTTGATGAAGAATATCATGCTGGGTGAGATAGTCTCCAAGAACAGAATTAAAATATTCAGTATCATTGTTAGTGTAAAGAACCTTGGGATACACCACCCCAAAAGCTAGCTCAAAGGGTGGGAGTGCCCAAGGCCTTATAAACTTCACATTAGTTGCACATACAACCAATGTGGGACTATATAACTCAACACGCCCCCTCACACGAGAGCCCATTGGGCTTGAAGAATGGACAATGCAACAGGCCCAGCTTACTTGTGCTAAGAAATGCCACAAGAGAAAGTGGGAGGCGACGAGGCTCTGATACCATGTAAAGAACCTTGGGATACACCACCCTAAAAGCTAGTTCAAAGGGTGGGAGTGCCCAAGGCCTTATAAACTCCACATTAGTTGCACATACAACCAATGTGGGACTATATAACTCAACAGTTAGTTTGAAGAATTTGGATAGAGGTATGGAATTGAGTTTGAACTATAGCATGAAAATTTTTAAAAGTGGATGCAACATCAGACTTATCTTTTAGGAGGTATACCTAACATATCCTAGAGTGATCATCTTTGAAAGTTATAAACCAATGAGCACCAGAGATATTTTTTTCACGGTTTAGGCCCCAATATCACTATGAATAAAGGTAAATGGAGAAGAATCATGATGGACACTAGGAGGATAAGAAACACGAGAATGTTTTGCAAGTTGACAAATATTACAAGAAAAAAAACTAAGATTTTTATTGATATATGAGTTTGGGAACAACTTCTAAAAATATAGGAAGGGGTGTCCTAAACCGACGATGCCACAACAAAACATCATTACAATCATCAGACAAATAAACCAAGTGGTTCACAAAGATTTTCTCTTCAGAAGGATCCTTTTCAAAATAGTAGAGCCCTTCTTCCTCTCTAGCAATGCCAATCATCAGCTCCGAGTCTTGTTCCTGAAAAACATTGCTTATTATTATTATTACTACTACTAAACTATAATTTATTATTATTAATAATTTATTGTATTATAAATTACTATTATGTTCCTGGGATATTACAGTTTGTCTAAAAGATGGGTTGGAGGAAGGTTATTAGCATTGTGAAGAGATAGATTTTTCTCTGTTTTTATTTATTTATGTATTTACATATATATATGTAAAGAACCTTGGGATACACCACCCGAAAAGCTAGCTCAAAGGGTGGGAGTGCCCAAGACCTTATAAACTCCACATTAGTTGCACATACAACTAATGTGGGACTATATATCTCAACACGCCCCCTCACACGAGAGCCCATTGGGCTTGAAGAGTGGACAATGCAACAGGCCCAGCCTACCTGTGCTAAGAAACGCCACAAGAGAAAGTGAGGGGCGGCGAGGCTCTGATACCATGTAAAGAACCTTGGGATACACCACCCTAAAAGCTAGCTCAAAGGGTGGGAGTGCCCAAGACCTTATAAACTCCACATTAGTTGCACATACAACCAATGTGAGATTATATATCTCAACACGCCCCCTCACACGAGAGCCCATTGGGCTTGAAGAGTGGACAATGCAACAGGCCCAGCCTACCTGTGCTAAGAAACGCCACAAGAGAAAGTGGGGGGCGGCGAGGCTTTGATACCATGTAAAGAACCTTGGGATACACCACCCGAAAAGCTAGCTCAAAGGGTGGGAGTGCCCAAGACCTTATAAACTCCACATTAGTTGCACATACAACCAATGTGGGACTATATATCTCAACAATATATTATTTATTTTTCCTTAATTTGATCTTGCTTTTATATGATGTTGATGTTCATTATTTTAGAAGAGGGAAAATTGCTTTGGGTAGTGAAGGGGAGCAGAGGTATTTGCTGGTGGAAATTATCTTTTTTGCTTATGCTTTGCTCATTATTTAAAGCACTAATTCATGAACTTGTGAATTGGTTAGCCATAGAAGTGTGATACTCTTTAGTGTATGAGACTGTGTATAGACTTTGGTTTGCTTTACTAATAATTTTGAGATGTCTAAATCGAAATATATATCTTAGAAGATTATTTTTGAGAAGGCAGGTTGAGGAACTTATGCGTAGGAAGCTTGCAAAGGAGGCTGCTGAGAAAGAACTTCAAGAGTTTATTGAATTGTTGGCCTCTGCAAAATCGATGCCCTCACATGATAAACCTCCCAAATCTTCATGGATTAACAAGGAGAAAACTTGGAGCAGAATTGAGTCACTTGAAGCATATGCTATTGATGATTATAGAAATGATGAACAAAGGAAAACAGCTGGACTGGTAACTTTTCCCCTCAAACATAGTTTGTTTTCGTTTAATGTAGCAATATGGTGCTTCTCTTTATGTTTGCACATAAGAAAATAGGGAGGAGAGGAGAATTAATGAATGAGATTCTCAAACTTTTTTTTACTCCTTTATATGTAATTATACTTATGAAGTGGATCAAGTACAAGTGTAGTACAAAGCCTACCGCAGTAATGCCCTGCACTTACTAAAATTACTACTTTTAACAACAAGAAATGCCGATCTTGGTGGATTCAGTTGTTTCCTTTCTTGATATTTTTGTATAAAATCTTAGATTAGTGCATCTATAGTTGATTGCTATTTATGTCATTGAAGTTGACTTTCTTGTTCTACTAAGTTCATCTTCTGTGCCACTAGCAGATACTTAAGGAAATGGGTCTGGCAAAAACAGCATCTTCAGCATTGAATCTCCTGGTAGATATTGGGTATTTTCCTGTACATGTCAATCTTGAATTGTTGAAGTTGGGAATTCCCACTGATCATTCAGAAGAAGTCATATCTGCTGCTCAAAGTCTTCTATTAGACTCATGTGATCCGGATGAGGTGAGTTTCATTTGCCTGATAATATTGCTAAAATGAGATTTATCATGTATGTTCTTATGGCTGGATTCTTTAGAAAGATACGTGCAATTAATATGATGAAAAATTGACATTATTAAATGCCTGTCCAATCCCTTCCTTCAAAACCAAATATTACTCAGTATATAAAGTTGATGCTTACTGACAGAGTTTATTGAGCTTTGATCACGGTGCTTTCATATTTTGCTGAGATAGAAGGGTAACAAGAAAATTTGTTATTAATAGAAATTTTTATAAATACTTTTGTAACAATTAACCATTTACCGCTTATTGTTATTATGCTATTTAAAATTTATAATTTGCATGTATCTAAATATACTTAGTAAAATGTACAAAGTTGGGAAAGGATATTATTTGAAATTTGAAGTTATATATTTAAAACTGCTAATGGTCCATTTTTTGTTCTTTTCTAAAGATAAAAAACACTATTTTAAATGAAAAATATGATTACAAAAATTAATAATAACTGGATTATTTTATTTTATTTTTAAAAAATAAACAGAAAAATGTCACTCCCCATTAAATGCCGACTCGCAAGGGTAGAGGTGAGGGCTATCTTTGTACACAGCCTTACTCTTGCATATTTGTAAAGAGACTATTTTTTGGATTTTAAGTTACAAAAAAACAGCTTGATCAATGCTCCAGGCTTGCCCTTTTAGATGTTAAAAATATATCTTATGAAAAATGCTTGAAAAAAACACTAAATCGTAAAAGATTTTATTTTTTATTTTTTACAACTTATCTGAATGCTCCCTAAATTCGATCAAACAAGGGTGTTGAGATATATAGTCCTACATTGGTTGTATGTACAACTAATGTGGAGTTTATAAGGTCTTGGGCACTCCCATCCTTTGAGCTAGCTTTTGGGGTGGTGTATCCCAAGGTTCTTCACATGGTATCAGAGCCTCGCCGCCCCCCACTTTCTCTTGTGGCGTTTCTTAGCACAGGTAGGCTGGGCCTGTTGCATTGTCCACTCTTCAAGCCTAATGGGCTCTCGTGTGAGGGGGCGTGTTGAGATATATAGTCCCACATTGGTTGTATGTGCAACTAATGTGGAGTTTATAAGGTCTTGGGCACTCCCACCCTTTGAGCTAGTTTTTGGGGTGGTGTATCCCAAGGTTCTTCACAAAGGGCATCACTGCCTAGAAATTTGAGGTGATTAATAGTGTATACCAAACATGGGAATTCTAAATTCTAAATATCTAGATATCTTATCCCTTAATAGTTTACCCCATTTTATGATGTCAATGTACCAAACTCCCAGTAGAAGATTGGATTAACCTGATTCTTCTGCTAAATACATGGACTGTACCGCCTTCACTGTTGTTTTAAAATTGCTGTAAAGACTGGACTCTCAAAGTTTTCCTAATCTTCTTGTTCTCCTTTAATAATTCTGATTATTACTTGGACACTTCTTAATATGTTTGTTGTTAGATAATCATTTTCTGTTTTACTATGTTCAGATTAACAGGAAGAATCTTACTGATTTAAAGGTATATGCCATCGATGTTGATGAGGCTGATGAGGTGAACAACCAATCCTTCTTTTATTGGTTCTGTTGAGATTCTTACAAATGTTGCTCATTTATTTAAGAAAGCCTATTATTTAATTAACTAACCAACTATATGTAGCTTGATGATGCTTTGAGTGCAACAAAATTGCAAGATGGTCGGATTAAAGTTTGGATACATGTTGCTGACCCAACTAGATATGTTCAACCTGGAACTATTGTGGACAGGTATCTGATTGAGATTCAGAGAGACATATTATTGATTATTTAGTGTTATGTTGTCTCCTCAATGTGCTCCATGGCATGCAGGGAGGCTATGAGAAGAGGAACTTCTGTTTTCTTGCCCACTGCTACATATTCTATGTTTCCAGAAAACCTTGCCATGGGCGGCATGAGTTTGAGACAAGGAGATATTTGTAATGCTATTACTGTATCAGTTGTGCTGCATAATGATGGCAGGTAAATTTAAATTATCTATTGCATGTTGTGGCAAAATCTACCTAATAATGACACACTAGTAGTAGAACCAAAGATTGCAGGAAGTGAGATAAACTGTTAGCAGCTGTCCTGAAGGGTGAATTGGGGCTCGGAGTTCTAATATAGCCTAGAAATATTGTCTGCTATTTGTGTTTGATGTCTTGTCTTATGTTTGACTATTCGATGCATTTGAGTTTGATGGGAAACGAATGTTGGAGTAATTAGGAGACTTGGTGTTTCTTAATATAAAATTTGTTTTTCATATATATTTGTTTATTAATGCTAGTTCAGGCTATATTAAATAATATCTGCATAAAACTTGAATATTGGCCTGAGCAATGCGCAATGGCTCATTGAGCCCTATATACAACAGCGCACAATAAATAACTGTTGTACTAAAAGACATGAATTTTTTAGTCCAAAATGTGGTCAAACTCCCATTTGTGTTTCATGACTTACGTATCAAGGTTGCAGTATTGCCTATATTGTACGGTAGCATTCTTATTGAAAGTGTACTTGGATTTCTAACTTTGGACCTAATGTTCAGAAATATGAGATATCTAGCTGTTATTAGGCAAATGTCAAGAAAAATCATACTATAATCTTATGCTTCAATTATAAAATCCTTTATCTTGTTTAAATACTGGATTGGTTTGTGGTGACAATTAACTGATACAGGAAATCTTTAAAAACCTAAAATAAAGTATGCAGGGAAATCAGAGGGAACAGTAAACCTTTATTTTTAGTAGTTTGGATGATTAAGGGTGTTGTTGAAGTAAGATAGGGTAGGGGATTGTTTGAACACCAATGGATGACTAACGATACCTTTTTGTTTATTTCCTTTTCTTTGTTTAATTTATGTGCATTGCTATGGTGAACTCGTAACAACTTAAGCTTTTAGGAGAATTGGTGGTATGCATAGAGACCCTGTATCAAAGTTGGGATGTTTTTAAATATTTAATGATTTTCATGTTTTATGACTTTATGCTCATGTCCTGGATCACTAACTTCCTTTTATGTAGAACCATGTCAATATATAGGTATAAAATTTCTGCTTTTTATTGTTGTGATCATAGGGATTAAAGAGATGGTTTGAGCTAATGTTTTATCTTCTATTGTTTTTCCTTATATTTGCCCCAAGGAAGATTCCTTATCCTCCACCCGTGCATTTTTCTCTGGTCAATCAATTCTTTTATATTTGAGCTTTTAGATGAGATGGTTGTTTAATATGGTATCAGAGCCTCCGTAATCAAATGGTTACAATTCGATCTCAACACCCCCTTTGTGTTCATAAATAATTATTGAGTTTCTTAGTACGGGTAGGTGGGACCTGTGTATTATCCATCCTTCAAGACCAATGGTATCTTATGTGAAGGGGCATATTAGAGAAATATAACACAAAACCATTAAGGTGACCTTCACCAAACAGTTAAATTTTTGGGTTGAAATGATTCTTTAACAAATTCTTTTGTTCAAAGCAGTACTAATAGTAGTAGTAGTAGCAATAATGATAATAACTATGATGATGACTTTTGAAGGCCTTTTGTTATTGATGTCCTATGTGGGTGTAACAGCATTGCAGAATGTTCAGTATGTAATTCAGTGATTAAACCAACATACATGCTGACATATGAGAGCGCATCTGAGCTACTCCATTTGAACCTTGAGGAGGAGGGTGAACTCAGAATTTTGTCTGAGGCTGCAAACCTTCGTCTGAATTGGCGCCGGCAGCAGGTAGGTTTTAGTTTCTTCTTTTGACTCTTGGGCTTATAAAGTTGTGTTTCCACGTATTTAGGATTTTCTTTAAAAGGAGTTGAGTCTTAGCTTAGGTCTGTAATGTGCTAAAGTTTGGAAATTTGTTGTTAAAATAGTATCTACATGAAAAATCACTTGTTAATCTTAATTGATGAAGATCTTCTACTTAACATCCTCACTTGATTCATGATTCAATGATTCATGGCTTTGCAGGTTTCAGAACTGCCTAAATAAAGCATCACCTGTCATCTGTTAAATTATTCAACAATACTCGGTCCTGTTTGTTTTATGTCAAAATCGCATTAAATTGGTCTGCACGGAACATGGTTGTTTGGTTTCTCAATATCAATTTTGCACCGTGTATAATTGACATTGACAAAAGTGAAATTTTTTAACTTTTCCATAGAGTAGAATTAATTTTAGGTTTTGGACCCATAAAATTTTTAAAAGCATACCTATACATATACTTCAAAAGTGATCCTACTTTACCATCCAAACAAAATTAATTCTTCTAAACTCACTTAAAAATATCACTCTCAAACATAAATCAATTTTTTGAAAATCAATTCTTTCAGCATCTATTTTTTCAAAATCAATTCCACCAGAATCTTAACCAAACATACCCATAGTTTGTCCACGAGCGTCGGTTCATCCCATTGATTTTAAAATTTCACTACCCTCTAATAAGTGGTGAAAAATTGCTTTAGTAGTTCATATTTTATATATATTGTTATTTGGCAAGGCAACCACAAATGTTGTAAAATGATAGCAGGCTTGAATAAATGTCATTTTTTACTTTTTTGTTTGTCTGACAAATGCTGAAAGTATCTTTAAAAATAAAAAACTGTACCCAAAATGTGGAGTTAGAAATATTCTTAGAAATTATGGGACTGACTATTGAATAATAGGCTTAGCTGAATGCTCCAGTTATGGGACTGACATTGAATAATAGGCTTAGCTGAATGCTCCAGTGGATGATCTGGGCTTAGTAATTGAAACACTCGCTTGTGGATCCATTTAGGCATGCAGAATTAGCTGTTTATATAGAAGATTTTTTAAATAGTTAAAGCTATTAAGAATTATTAGCCTCTGATACATTAATATAACCTTTCTCTACCTTTGTTCAGGGTGCAGTTGAGACAACAACATTAGAAACTCGCATTAAAGTGTCTAATCCAGAGGATCCAGAACCAGCAATAAACCTTTATGTGGAAAATCAGGCTGACCCTGCAATGCGACTAGTCACTGAGATGATGATACTCTGTGGCGAAGCTATGGCCACATTTGGATCTCGGAATGAGATTCCTTTACCCTACAGGGGACAGCCTCAATCAGATATTAATATTTCTGAATTTGTCCATCTTCCAGAAGGGCCTGTTAGGAGCTTTGCCCTAGTCAAAGTAATGCGTGCAGCTGAAATTGATTTCAGGAAGCCAGCACGCCATGGGGTTTTGGGAATTCCTGGTTATGTTCAATTTACATCTCCCATCCGTAGATATTTGGATCTTCTTGCTCATTATCAGGTAAGTTGCGTTTAATTTTATAATAGAGTACATGACTTATATGTACAATAATAGAGTACATGCATTTGGGCCTATTTACATGATGTGGGACTAATAACCGAAACATATATATATTATACTATTCTAACAATTTAGCTAGTTTCCAACAAAAAGAAACGAAAACATACTTGTTGCCTTCACAAGAGACAGGATACAAAATGTGCCATTTTGGTGTGCTTGAAATTTTCACCTGCGCTGGAAGGAATATAACTGTACAAAAGATTGTTACTTTGTTTTATTGAACTTGAATGTAAAATAATATGATGTGTATTAAGCTAATACAAAGAGTTACAATATATAGAGACCCTAATGGGCTTAAGTGAGAAGCCCAGACCTAATACAAAACTAAATAGGAAAAGAATATTTACAGTTAGGAAGGTAATCTATACAAATTTATATATCTAATATTTCCTATTCTAACACTCCCCCTCAAGCTAGTGCGTATATATTGTGAGCACCAAGCTTGTTACAAATGTATTAAACCTGAGGACCTCTAAGAGCTTTAGTGAAGACATTTGCTAGTTGATCATTAGAGTTGACAAAAGCTGTTTTGATTTCTCCTGACTGAATCCTTTCACGAATGAAGTGACAATCAATCTCTATATGTTTGGTTCTTTCATGAAATACAGGATTGGAGGATATATGTAGTGCAGCTTGATTATCACAAATGAGTGTCATAGGTTGTTTCTGTTCACAAAGATGAAGCTCCTGAATCAACTGCTTTAACCAGATTAACTCATAGGTAGAAATTGCCATTGCAGGATACTCAGCTTCTGCATTAGAGCGAGCAACAACAGGTTGTTTCTTACTCTTCCAAGAATTAAGTTTTCTCCAAAGAAGACACAATAGCCGGAAGTAGAGCGCCTGTCTAAGGGTGATCCTTCCTAATCAGCATCTGAATAACCACAAATTTCTGTATATCCTTGATCCAAATACAATAAACCTTTTCCTGGTGCTCCTTTGATGTATCGGAGGATCCGCACAACAGCATCCCAATGAGAATCACAAGGGGAATCAAGGAACTGACTAGCCGTACTAATAGCGAAAGAAATGTCTGGCCTAGTCACAGTAAGATAATTGAGCTTCCCAATTAGCCTCCGATAACGACTAGGATCAGATAATGGCTCCCCCTGTCCAGGCAATAACTTGACATTGGGATCCATGGGTGTATCAACTGGTTTACACCCCAACATACCGGTCTCTTCTAGGATATCCAAGACATACTTCCTTTGACAGATAGAAATGCTTTGTCTAGATTGTGCCACCTCAATTCCCAAGAAGTAACGCAACTTTCCAAGGTCCTTTGTTTGAAATTGACTGAATAAATACTGTTTTAACTGACGAATTCCAGCTTGATCACTTCCGGTGAGAATGATGTCATCAACATAGACTAACAAATAGATGCACTTATCAGGAGATGTGATCCTATAAAATACAAAATGATCAACTTTACTGCGGATTAAGCCAAAAGCCTGAACAACAGAACTGAAGCGACTGAACAATGCTCGAGGAGACTGCTTGAGACCATATAAGGATTTACGAAGTCAGCACACCTTCCCAGACTCCCCCTGAGCAACAAAGCCAGGTGATTGCTCCATGTAAACTTCTTGTAAATTACCATGAAGAAAAGCGTTTTTGATGTTAAGTTGAAGGAGTGGCCAGTGACGAACAACAACAAGAACAAGAAATAGGCGAATGGACGCCATCTTAGCGACCGGAGAGAATGTGTCACTATAATCAAGGCCAAAGATTTGAGTAAAACCTTTTGCGACTAAGCGTGCCTTGAGACGATCAACATAGCCATCAGGTCCAAGTTTCACAGTAAAAACCTAGCGACAACCAACTATAGACTTCTCTGAAGGAGCAGAAACAAGGTCCGTCCCAAGTGCCATTGGAATGAAGTGCAGTCATCTCATCAAGCATCGCTTGGCGCCACCCTGGATGGGAAAGTGCTTCACCTGTGGCCTTAGGAATAGAAACAAAAGAAAGACTAGAAACAAAGGTGAAATGAGGAGAAGAAAGACGGTCATAGCCCAAAAAGGTATAAAGAGGATCAGGGTTACGAGTAGTACGTGTACCTTTTCTTTGAGCAATGGGAAGAACCTCTGGTGAAGGAGCCGGAGGGGAAGAATCAACAGCAATGGGCAATGAGTCAGCCAGAGTCAAGTCGACAGGAGGCACATTTTTACGACGCTGATAAATGAGAAGTGGACGGTCCTCAGGTATGGAAGCAATAGGTTGCTCATCTGGAATAGAAGTACCTGCAGCTGGCAAAGACAAGTCAAGCAAAGGAACAGGAAGAACATGATCAACCTGTGACAATTGAGATGGGATAGAATTAAAGGGTTGTTGATCAAGAAAAATGACATCAGCGGAAACAAAGTGACGCTTAAGATCAGGAGAATAACAACGATAACCCTTTTGAAGACGAGAATAACCAAGAAAAATACACTTAAAGGCTTTGGATGTTAACTTGTCCTTACCAGGAGTGAGATCATGAACAAAATAGGTACAACCAAAGACATGTGGGGATAGAGGATAGAGAGGAACATCTGAAAGCAACAAGTTATAAGGAATGTCATTATTAAGCACAAATGAAGGCATTCGGTTATGAGAAAACAAGAGGCAAGGACTGCATCGGCCCAGAAGTGAAGAGGAACATGCATGTGAATAAGAAGAGTCCGTGCAGTCTCAATGAGATGTCTATTTTTACGTTCAGCTACTCCATTTTGTTGTGGAGTGGGAGGACAAGTAGTTTGGTGTAAAGTACCCTGTGTGGCTAGGAAATTAGAAAAGCCAACAGAAACATATTCCTTAGCATTATCACTACGTAAAATATGAATAGAAGCACCAAATTGAGTATGAATTTCAGCAGAAATTTTTTGATAAATAGAAAATAACTCAGAATGGTTTTTCATTAAATAAATTCAAGTACAACGTGAAAAATCATCAATAAAGGTAACAAAATACCGAAAACCTAAAACAGACATACTACGACTAGGACCCCAAATATCTGAATGAATAATTGAAAAAGGAGAATTAGCTCGTTTATTGACTCGATTGGCAAAGGAGGAACGTATGTGCTTCCTTTGCTGACATGACTGACAATCTAAAGTCTAAAGACCTGATAAAAGAGGAACTATCTTCTGCAATTTTGAAAGACTAGGATGCTCGAGGCGACTGTGGATGAGTTGTGGAGATTCTGTGAGAGAACAAGCAACTGAAGGACTCGGCACAACCAGGTAGAACAGACCCCGTGACTCACGGCCCACTCCAATCATCTTCTCCGTACCCGGATCCTGCACAGAAACAGAATGGTTTGAGAAGGGGACCATATAGTTAAGATAGTTGATCAATTTACTAACAGAGATTAAATTATAAGGGATGTCAGGAATGTAATAGACAGATGTCAAGGTCAATGAGGAGGTTGGACAGATTTGTCCAATCCCATGAACAGGGGCTTTAGTGCCAACAGTAAGAGTAAAAGAGGGTAAATTATCAGAATGTGTAAGGGATGAAAAGAGTTACTTATTACCACAAAGGTAATCAGTAGCACCTGAGTCAAATATCCAAGGACCAAGTGATGCAGAATGAGAAACACAAGCATCGGTGTTGAGAAATATGTAAAGAACCAATTCAACCTAAAAGCTTAAGCTTTTGGGTGAGGTTACATTAATGATTTTATATATCTCAACAAACGGGATTACCAGTTTCTGAAGCAGAGGGCTGAGACTGAGGAGAAGCCTTCATGAGAAGGGTCTGGAGTGCTGCATAGTCTTCAGAGGAGAGAGAGAGACTATACCAGTTGAAGCAGTATCCGATTGAGCTATATTAACAGCATAAGAGGGTCGCAGGTGAGGATACTTTGTGTAGCAACGTTCCTCATAATGACCGAGTTGCTGACACTAATGACAACGAGGTCACTGACCATTTCCTCCTGGGCCATGTCCTCCCTCGCCTCTACCACGTCCACGACCACCTCCAATGTTCCCGCGAAAGTCAGTACGCGAAACTAGAGCAGTGGAATCAACAACAGTAGATGATGCAGGAGCAGATTTCTTATTAAGATTCAGAAGACGCTGATACATCATTGATAGATTAGGATCCCCACTGGTCAAGATAGTATCCCGGACATTATCATATTCTTCGGGAAGACCAGAAAGTGTGGCAACCATAAAGAGACGTTCCACCTGTTTCCGATATGCAGAAGCATCATTAAGGTAAGGCAACATATCCAAATATGCCTGCATCAGAGATCGACTTTTGCCAACATATATCTCCATCTGAGTGTCAGATGATTTGCGTAGATCCATAAATTGAGACACGATAGAATAGAGCTGCTGAACATCATTAGTGTAGAGGTGTTTTGCTTCCTCCCACACTTCATTGCATGTTTGAAAAGAATAGAAAATATCCAAGACGACTGGATCAATAGACTTCCAAAGGATACTCAGAAGCTGGTTGTCAATCTTTTCCCAATCAGATTTTTCTTCCTTAGGAATATCAGTAGATTTAGTTGTGAGATGGTTCTCATGTCCCTGTCCAAAGAACCAAACTCGAACAGAGGTGGCCCAATTCTTGTAATTAACAGAACCCTTCAGCTTTGAAGAGGTAATGGGCCCAACATTGGTGGAGATGATATTAGGGGAACTTTTAGCAGGACGAGAGAGAGAACTGATCTCCGAATCAGCAGGAGAAGATGCTGCCATTATAATAAATCACAAGGTTATACAACCAAGTGAATCGAAACTAACCTGATTGAAATTCAAGAAGAGGTACGCACAAAAAGTGAGACCCAGAAAGAACCAACCACAGATCTGGAAAGAGGAGGATGAGGCGAGCTTCTCTGTCCAAGAACGACCGGAAAAAGCTGTCGTAACAGTGTACACGCGCCGGTTGAAGGTGGCGCGTGAGCACCATGCGCAGAGGAGACGAGTGGCGCGTGGAGGCGCATGACTGACGCGACGGTGGTCGGACCTCAACAGAACTGGTCGCCGGGAGGAGAGGGTCTTGATCTCAGGTTGTCTGGGTTGAAAACTCGCTGGAAAACTTCTCCGGCGGCCGGAACAGTGACGGACGGTGGTTCCGGTGGCAGTCGGAGGTGCTGACGCGTTTGGAATTTACTCAGAAGGGGCTTACAGCCCTAAATGGCTTGTCGGAAGGACGCACGGCAAAGAAAAGAGGACTCCTAAGCAGTGGGCTTAGGTTTTAAAGCGAAAACGAAGTTTTTAAGCGAAAGCGAGGATTCCCAGAACAAAAGAGCTCTGATACCAACTTGAATGTAAAATAATATGCTGTGTATTAAGCTAATACAAAGAGTTGCAATATATAGAGATCCTAATGGGCTTAAGTGAGAAGCCCAGACCTAATACAAAACTAAATAGGAAAAGAATATTTACAGATAGGAAGGTAATCTATACAAATCTATATATTTAATATTTCCTATTCTAACAATTGATAAATAAAATTCTCTTAAGGGATGTAATTAGGTGATGATTACATTTATAGCCTTTTTTGGTTTAATAAGATGGTAAAAAAATACAAAGAAGCTAAATTTTTTGTTAGCGTGTAGTTGTTCTTCTAAGGTGTGTTTGGTTGGAATTAGTTGTGCACATCTTTAAGGATGGCTATTTACCTGTAGATGTTTTTTGGGATAATGTTTATATTAAAACTTATAAATAACTATTTCAACTCAAAATTTTAAGTTGTTATGTGAATGTCACATTAATGGTTTTATATTTTATTTTTCTAACACACCCCTTGCATAAGAGCCCATTAGGCTTGAAAGGTGGGCAATGCATAGGCCCCATTTACGTATGCTAAAAAATTCTATAATATTTAGTTATTTATTAATAGAATAGGGACGGTGAAGATCGATCTCACTATCACTTGGTCACGTAGGCTTTAATACTATGTAAATAATCATTTCAACCCAAAAGTTTAAGTTGTTAAGTAAAGGTTACATTAATAGTCTTATAATATATTTCTTTAACAAGATTTCTCTATGGTGCTTTGTTGCTGGCTGTTTCAAGGGTATATAAGAAAACGTTACAACTATGGATGTGAAGGGAAATTACAGAAAGACAATTACAACTAATGGCTACAGTTTGCATAAAAAGAACAACTATGAATGACAAAGGTGCAGCACATTCCCAAGTCCAGTCCCAAATCCAGTCTTCCCCATCCTCATGCCTTCCCCTGCCTTTTATTCCTTCTAACTACCTTAGCCACCTCAGCAACCAACTTTCTTCTCTCTTCTAACAAACTCACTCCTCTGGAATATTCTAAATAGCTGAGTCATCATTCTACCATAAACTTCTATAATGATGCCTAGTGTACACTTTAATAGGAGTCCTATCAATACTCCTCCCTTTTAAGCACCTTGTCCTCAAGGTGCAGTTCAGTCACGAAGACCCTCCTCCTAGATCCCATTGGGTGAATTGTAAGGGCCAACTTATGCATGAAGCATAGTAACATCCACCAGGATCCCATTGCCCTTTCTCGATCCCAACCTTAAGCTTTGGTGTGGCAACCAGTTTCTCACTTTCAGCACCAACAAATCTTATCCTCTTCCTAACATGTGTCACTACAGCATCTTCAACAGCAAGGGTAACCTCCAAAAATAGCTGAATATCATGCTGGGAAGCTAACTGTGCATACCAACAACAATTATCTTTCAAGTTCTCTAATTCAGGAAAACTATGTTTGACCTTAAGGCTGTATTTTCCGGGAATAGTGACATATGTATCCTTGCAGGTTACAACACTCTGGATATTGAACAAAACCAGAGAAAAATCAACATTAAAGACTGGGCTTCTGACCATAATAGCGATATCAGATGGAGCAAACATAATTGTTTGATAATTTCCAGCAGAATTTTTGGGTAATTTCTTTCCCTTCATGGACTCAGCGACACATGGAGTGTAATTAGATGCCGAGTTTGTGGTGCCATAACCAAACTGACCCTCTCTATTGCAACCCCAAGCAAAAACTCTACCCAAATCAGAAAATACAGAAGTGTATACAAGTTGTCCCTCTCCATTGGATCCCCATGTGAAAATTTCACCATCTTTGATAGTAATAACTGTATAATGTTTAGTTGCAGCAATTGTTTTTACTCTACGGGAACCCAAACCAGTAGTCACCAGGCGAGGAGTGATAATGATATAAAACAGAGGGTTTGCGAGATTGCATACCTGGGTTGGAAAGTCAGCGAAGAATACCCCAGACTCATTGACGGAGGTAGGAGTTACTAAGATCAGCCACTGTGTGTAGATTAACTGTTGACGAGCCTTGGGATTTTTTGGTTCCCCTGGTCCAGATGGAAATTTTGCCTTGCAAGCCTCATACGACCAAAGAATAGAGTCTAAATTATCTCTTCTTTCAGGCTGGGTTGGGACTAACTTAATAATTTGAGCTTGGGCCCATTTAACAACAATTTGCAGCCAACTCCATAGTGTAGCACCTGAACTTATCAGCTTGTTAGCCCATTTACTACATAAAATAGAAATAGAAGTACTATTGTTATTGGCATGGGTCAGCTGTAAATTACCATTAGTTTGGGCTGGATTTGCAATTTGTCCCATTTTCAAATTTGACCTAGCTTGTTCCCGTTCTGCTCCCTGCGTATGCACCCTCTTCTGCTCATAGCAGTGCTGCAACAACTCGCTCTCTCTCTCTCTCACAATGGTGCTTGTCTGGTGGCTTTGGCAAAATGGGTGGGTCAACTACCACCGTAGGTGGTGGTGCCAATGTTGGCACCCACACTCTCTTAACCCACTCATCGTCGTCTCCTTGTCGGGAAGAGGAGCTTCTTTCATCTTCCTTCTTGTCACCTTCACTTGAAACTATACCAATCTTTTTTTTTTTTTTTTTTTCGATCTCTCCTTCCATTCACAATTGCTTTTTCCTTTGTTTTCATAACCAATTTTGGCTTGGCTGGAATCCATCAACACCTTGTTCGTGGTTTGAACCATTGCTTGAATGCTCTCCTAAATTTCCTCTTCCTGTTCATCACCACTTTTTATCAGGACACAGTTTATTTCATCTAGTTCTCCTCCATTCTTTTCTCCTTGCTTGGTCTCGGTCTCCTCCCTAACAGATTTTTGTTGCAGCTCAGATTCTAGCCTTTGAGGTCATCATCTACCAAGCAAACCTCCGGTTGAAATTCCTTGAAGAAAGCTTTTAAAAATGTCCACAAACTAACTTTTGGATTATACCAGATTCGAGCTTGATCGGTCAATGCCTTCCCTAGCTTCCGATGGCTTTTCAGTATCTGAAATTCCCTTTGCCTCAAAGTACTGCTCAACTTGAAGCAACCATTCCCAAGCTTTTTTGTCCCCAGAAAATATAGGAATCTTCATTTTATAAAATTGATTTCTCATTTTTATTTTATTTTTTCTGATTGGTGTGGTTCAAAGCCCCCTGGATCGGAGAGCTCTGATACCAATTGATAGTATTGGATAAGATAATAACCGAAAAAGAAAGAAACAACGGATTTTGGCCCAGATAAATCTGGATTTTCTGTATTGAAATAAGAAAACGTTACCACTATGGATGTGAAGAAGGGAAATTACAGAAAGACAATTATAACTATTAGCTACAGTTTGCTGAAAAAGAAGAACTATAAATGACAAAGGTGCAGCACATTCGAGAGGTGCAACTCTCTCCCAAATCCAGTCTTCCCCTTCCCCTGCCTTTTATTCCTTCTAACTACCTTAGCCACCTCATCAACCAACTTCCTTCTCTCTTTTAACAAACTCACTCCTCTGAAATATTCTAAATTGCTGAGTCATCATTTTGCCATAATCTTCTATAATGCTGCCTAGTGTACACTTTAATAGGAGTCCTATCAGGTTTATTCATGCAAAGAATACAACCTAGAAAACTTTATTTTATAGCTCCAAGGATTTATGTTTTAGTCTTTATATTTGTCATCGTATGTTGCAATATGATTGGATTCGCAACATGTTACTGTAGTAGCATTTTTATTTGTGGGCTTTGCTTTCTAACTGCCGTTAAGTGCTTCTGTTATTACTACAAATTGGTATTTTCTTTTAAGGTTTTTCCGTCTGTGTTTTGGTTATGTTTGGAATGTTTGTTTTCCTTAGGTAAAGGCATTTCTTAGAGGTGAGCCTCCACCCTTTTCAGCTGGTAAGCTTGAAGGCATAGCAGCACTTGTAAATGATAAATTTAGAGCAGTGAGGAAGCTCTGCAACAGTAGTCTTCGATACTGGATATTAGAATATTTAAGAAGACAACCAAAAGAGAAAAGATATCGTGCATTGGTCCTTAAATTTTTTAAAGATCGACTTGCAGCTCTATTGTTGATTGAGGTATGCAGCTAATGGTTCCTATTATATAATCTGTTTGGCAGTCCATGCACTTTTTTTTTTGGCAGCGTGTAAAACATCTAGAAGGGGTAGCTGCCTTATAATAGCTGCATCAGTGATTAGTTAGGGATGATGAGTTTACTTTTTGAGATCAATGTTGAAACATAATTTCCATAATCTTGGAGGAATCATGTATTAATGTCCTTCCTCATCTCCTCCGTATATGCTGGAGATGCAAACATAATGATTATATTAAGGCCACTTCAGTGATGGATGCTTGTATCAGTGTGTAAAGAACCTTGGGATACACCACCCCAAAAGCTAGCTCAAAGGGTGGGAGTGTTCAAGGCCTTATAAACTCCACATTAGTTGCACATACAACCAATGTGGGACTATATATCTCAACACGCCCCCTCACACGAGAGCCTATTGGGCTTGAAAAGTGGACAATGTAACTGGCTCAGCCTACCTGTGCTAAGAAATGCCACAAGAGAAAGTGGGGGGCGGCGAGGCTCTGATACCATGTAAAGAACCTTGGGATACACCACCCCAAAAGCTAGCTCAAAGGGTGGGAGTGCCCGAGGCCTTATAAACTCCACATTAGTTGCACATACAACCAATGTGGAACTATTCATTCAGTGAAAAACTCTATTAAATTTAGCTATTTCTCAGAATCATTACTTAGGTCACTGCACAATTTTCACAAGCTCGTTTCATTTGGGAGGTAGTTGAATTTTCTATACCTTGGTTAAAAAATTTGTCAATCTTTCCAAAGCAGAATCATTACTTAGTTGAAAATTTGTTCTTAAAACTGATAGATGAGACCGACACTATAAAAACAGATATTAAAATTGATATTATAATTTTTTTAATCTTTCTTATCACTTTCTTGTTATGTATGGTTTGTTTAGATAACCTCATATGTATTGCTTTTACCAGAGTGTTTTTACACTAAGTTTAATGTGGTGAAAAGATGCGAATTTTCTTTTTTACTGTTTTGAATCCAGAACGTGATTCTTTTTCGCAGGTTGGCTTTCAAGCTTCTGCTTTGGTCTCTGTTGGAACTCAGATAGGGGATGAAATAATAGTTAAGGTGGAAGAAGCACATCCACGCGATGATATTCTTTTTCTGAAGGAGGTTGTAGAAGGGTGATGTAAAGAATTACGTTTTTGAAAAGACCTTTTCAATTTTCAATGATTTATTCAAAAAGGTAAACAGCTCTATATGCGTTCCTAGCAGTTATATATTTCTGTCAACCAATACCTGAACCACACTCTTCGGATGTGGGAGGATAGGCTTATTAACTCTCACTTAGCTTGGCTGGTAGGATGCAGCGTCATCGTCTTTGCATGGAAGAGAGATTACACGCTTTACTGGCAGAATTTAAATCTTTGGAACTTTGTCAAGCTGTTCACATTTCGAAGAGTCATTTCTGGCAGAGAAGTTGAGGAAAGCTATAGCCAGCATATCCAGGCTTCAACACGCTGCTAGCTAAACAGTCCTTCTAACTACCTCCATTTTCTCCACCCATGCTGTAACATAAAGTTAGCAGGTTTTCTTCCTCTTCGCAAGTAGCTTAGCCCATTCTGTTGATTTGGTAAGATGTCTTTGACATGAGCCGGTAGTTGTAATATATCCCCAGAAGCAGCTTCTTTTTTTGTTTTGCTAAAAATTCATGGTTATGAGGTTTTTTTCTTAGGTAGTTTACTTTTGCCAGGTATATGCATGGCTTTACAACCTTATATAGATATCTGATGAGTTTTCATTGTTGTAACCTGGCACACCTTGTGCTATAAGATCTAAGGATCTAGACGTGCAATACAAGGGGGTCATATGGAAGAGACTTTTTAATATACGTTGTGTTACACCCAATTGCTCATATACCACTTAATTGATCATAAAGGGGTTGCGAAATGTTTGAATGGGGAACGACTACAAGTTATGTTGCAATGCCAAATCAATGGTTAACATTTTAGTATATTACTATTTAAAGCTTTTGCATTGCCAGATGTTAAGAACATATTCGGAGGCAATTTTTCCTACTTTACTCGATTCCTTAGATGTAGTCAACATTGGTGAAGTTTGTAATCTCCCATTGTAAACGTGTCTTGATGGTGATGGCATAGGTAATTCTGCCAGCTGTGGAACAAGGGAAAGTGAGGAAAAAGGCACTAAAATAAAATAATATGGTGTTCGTTTAAGTTTGTACTCGTTCCTTTGACGGTAAGCACATTCAGGTATTCTGAATTTTGGGAATTCCTGGTGCTCTTGCCTTGCATTTTAGCCTGCAAGGTTCTGTACCTGATTGGAAAATCCAGCACACCTAGGTGTTCATTTAGTAATAACTTAATCATTTCAAGGAATGTAGTTTTATGGGTTGGCCTCAGTTCTGAAAAAGCTAACAAGTACAGGCTGTAATATTTGTTTTTCTTGTTGTTAGGTAATGTTAAGCGCGGGGCTATATTTGGATACTCTTTTTAAAGAAGAATCACAGACTGAATAATTAAAGTTACGTATTGTAGTAGTAGATGTTATAGACTAAGTAACAAAAGTCCGTAATTATATAGTTTTTATTATTAAATTTATAATTTTTATAAGTCTAGAATTCTATTGTTCTTTTAATATTTAATATTAAGTCTATAATTTATGTATTTTTTTAAAGGAAGAAGTACCGAAGCAAATTTGTCAGCAAATAAGGGACAGAAAAGTCAGATAGCGACTCGCATAGATTATTTACATCTCCTAATTTTTAGGAACTTAGAATATATTCTAAGTATTATTTTGAACATATTTTTGACCGTTCATGTTTAATTTAAGGGTTATGTTTATCTCATTTTACATGAGATAAACATCTCTCCTATACACACAAAAAGAGGTTGGGTCCTACCACTTTTTTTTCTCTCTCCTCTTACATGTGGATCTCACTTATACTTTTGTTTCTACAACATAAGATAATTCTTTTCCTACAACATAAGAAAAATATATCCCTTAATTTAATTACGTTTTACTTGTTTACCAAAAAAATAAAATTACTTTTTACTTTTAATTAACGGGCGGTATAGGCGTATAGCTATGAATGCCACATGTTTCGCTTTTGCAGTTTACTGGTACTCTGAGTGCACAATTTTTTTTTTTTTTTTGATAACAGAGTGCACAATTTTTACTTGTGCTGTGAATCGTGAAACGTTCTCTTTGCTAGATCATGAGAAACGAAGTCAAAATCTCATCGAAAATGCAACTGGGTAGTACAGAAATTGATCTTTACCAGGAAAAATCTTCAGATGCACTGAAATTAATTGCATCCGCAATTCATTTATTCTATAATACATAAGTGAATTATGTGCAAATTTTTAGATGCTCAAAATTCACTTAAGTATCTTAGTATAAATGAACTATTCAGTACATTGGTAGTACTAAAAGTTTTCTACCTTGTTATACAAAAAAATAAAAATAAATAAATAAATAAAATTCTACCTTGCTGGTCACTGAATTTTGCATAAAATACTTAAAAGTCTTACTTTAGAGTCAAAAAAACTTTCCTCATATATATATATATATATATATATATATATATATATATATATATATGGACAAGATCATTTGACACAGTATTAAACTAAAAAGTTTGACACCAAATTTTGTCTGTGAATTTTCATCAATTTGACGATTATAATTTATTGAGAATTAATAATTAATTAATTAATAAGTGTGATTCAATAAATTATAATTGTTATAATCCTAAAAATCAATAATTAAGATTTGATGTCAAATTAAAAAATTTGATTATATATATATATATATATATATATATATATATATATATATATATATATATATATATATATGATGAGTAAAATGTTGTGTGCATGTATCATAAATGCACCAAATAAATCAGGAAATGGGATTTGAAGTCTCTCAACGAGGACGTGTAGAATTTGAAAAAGCTCAACAATGAGCTACTGAAATTGCATCAAAAGGTACAATAGATAGTTAGTCTCGACAAACACTGAGAAACATCATGTAAAATGCATGTGGTGTGCAAGTCTGCAAACCATTCTTTTTATGTTTTGGTCAGTTTGCCTGCAGCAATTGAGCCAATGTTGCAGTGCATTTAGTATACCAACATGACACCCGTTTTTGTGACCACTGCTCAGTGATTTGTCTCCAATCCATTGCTTTCTTGACTGAAAACTCTTGTGGGCCTGTTGCCCATTATGATGTGAAAGGCCGCTAGGTTTATCGATCATTGTCTCTCTCTTTTTTTGGTCTTCTTAGTCCAAACTTTCTCCAATGTAGAACTCACAGGTTTTTCTATGTGCCTGCTTGAGGTACATGAGAGTGAATTGAGATCCTGAACTTTTGACGGGAAATGTGTGTTCATTACAGAAAATGATAATGACGTGTTGATTGTTGAAATTGTATTGTATTGTCCATGAATTGTTGAAGCTGAAAATTGCAGGTTGTATGATTTTGCATGTTAGAACTTAGAAGTCATATTCAATTATGTAAATGTAAAAAGTTGTGTAAATAATATCCGTTTGAGTAAATAAAAAAATTTTATCCCTAAAGAATTTAACATTAATTAGTTATATTAGTCCAAGAGTACAAAGGTAATCCTTGACTAACACTTTTATTATGCTAGTTAATCCAGGAATATTTCCGACCTTTTGATTAATTTGATGTAAAATGAGAAAAAAATTATGGGATTAATTCAAATTTCAAAGATTTAATCAAAATAATGCAATGAGACACATAGGGGGGTCGTGTGCGTTCAAGTCGCGCATGAGGAAGTACACAACTTGAACATGGACGAATGCACAGTTGCCACATGAGGCGCGCTACAAGTCATTCCCCACCCTTATGCACAGGCATGCGTGCATTTGCCCTTGTGCAAATCACACATCTCACTCATGCCTAACCTCTTGTGCAACGTGAACTCGCGCAATTCCTTATGTGACGCACTGCATTATTTTGATAAAGTCTTTGGATTTTTCATCAACCCGATTAATATTTCGAATTTTGTATGATTATAGTAATTTTAGATAAATATGAAAATTATTAATGGACTTTCACTTAATAGCTTAAATTTTTGGATTAAAACAGTTCTTTATAAGGAAAAATGCCTATGTTTTCAAGTTGGTATCATTTTATCCTTTCACTTACGAAAATGATCTTCGTTCAGTACTTAGGGTTGTAACACTTCAAATTCTTCTTTGTCTCCTTCCTCTCTCTTGCTACCACATCTTCTCACGTTCAATTTGAATTATTACAGAAGGTCTACAAGGATCTACATCCCTAAAAAGGAAAATATTTTAACTATCCCTGTTCACCCACCATTTGGTATATCCATTCAATAGAAACAAGACATTAGTATTGACATGTTATCATGTCAGAGCTGAGAAAAGAGAAAAATAGAAGCAGTCGTTAATGATTTATTTATCAAATACAAGCGTCTCATTTTGAATGACGGTAGAACCCATTACAAGGTGCTTGCTTCTCACTAAAAATACTCCCCGTGAAAGCCAATCCATCACAAGCCGTGATTAAAAACACTTCAAATTCTTCTTTGTCTCCTTCCTCTCTCTTGCTACCACATCTTCTCACATTCAATTTGAATTATTACAGAAGGTCTACAAGGATCTACATCCCTAAAAAGGAAAATATTTTAACTATCCCTGTTCACCCACCATTTGGTATATCCATTCAATAGAAACAAGACATTAGTATTGACATGTTATCATGTCAGAGCTGAGAAAAGAGAAAAATAGAAGCAGTCGTTAATGATTTATTTATCAAATACAAGCGTCTCATTTTGAATGACGGTAGAACCCATTACAGGGTGCTTGCTTCTCACTAAAAATACTCCCCGTGAAAGCCAATCCATCACAAGCCGTGATTAAAAACACTTCAAATTCTTCTTTGTCTCCTTCCTCTCTTCTCTTGCTACCACATCTTCTCACGTTCAATTTGAATTATTACAGAAGGTCTACAAGGATCTACATCCCTAAAAAGGAAAATATTTTAACTATCTGTGTTCACCCACCATTTGGTATATCCATTCAATAGAAACAAGACATTAGTATTGACATGTTATCATGTCAGAGCTGAGAAAAGAGAAAAATAGAAGCAGTCGTTAATGATTTATTTATCAAATATAAGCGTCTCATTTTGAATGACGGTAGAACCCATTACAGGGTGCTTGCTTCTCACTAAAAATACTCTCCGTGAAAGCCAATCCATCACAAGCCGTGATTAACAAACTAGGAAGAAGAAAAGGCCAAACTTGTAAAGCAAACAAGACAAATGGTGAGTAAATTATGAGAACACATATTGAGATGCTTCCATTTGTTCTAAACGCTGGAGCTTTTCATCCTCTTTCCACCATTTGGCTACTTAGAAAAATCAAAGCTCACCCCTTTCAATCTCAACTAATATATACCCCTTCCTCTCTATCACTGTTTGAAGAGGAAGACTTGACCGAGGATCTTGGAAACCTCAGTCAAAGGATGGTTCTCGATGGCTTCAATAATATAGTGTAGCTGCGACTATTATTTCCTTGTTTGATTAAAATTTAGAATCTAATACTAGCATAAATAGAAATTAGTATTTTGTAATTTATATGACATCATATCATATTCAATCAATACCAATTTCATATGGTAGATAAGGATGAAGCCTTAAGCAATTATAAGATAAAATAAGCACTAAGGATATCATAATGGGGAGGGTTATATTTATAAACTTTTTGTTTACAGACTATACTATATTCTTCTGGAAGAACACTAAGTTACATTATGTTCTCCCGAGAGTACATAGTGTAATTTGTAAAAATTTGTAAAAAAAATTTTATAAACGAATCATTCTCCTATCATAATAATTGTCTTTACTATTTCCCTT